CAGGTAATAAAAATTTACTTAACTGATTTTTTTTTTTTTTTTTTTAAATTATTCAATTTATTGTCGTTTAACTATATTATTATCATTATTATTATAATTATCATTTACCTAATTCATTAATAATTTTTCTCAATGGTCTTTCGTTATCGGTTTCAATATTATCCAAAGACATGCAAGAATCGTAAAAATTTTTTATCTTCCACGTGAGCGTGTTCGTTCTCGTTTGATGAGGCAAAACCGAAATAACTTCTCGAATCATTTCCGATAATTTCAAATCCATTTCCGTTTCTAATCCCCATTTAGATCTCGACGGAGGCGGTTTATTATGGCTTTTTATTAATCCGCCGCATGAAAATTCATAAAAATCCTCGCAGGGTGATTTTGTTCTATCTAGTTTTGAAAGCATCTAAAAAAAAATATTAAAAGAAATACCTTTTTACGTAACGACGACAACAAGAACAACAACAACAATAACAAAACAACCTCTGACTTTGTGTTGCAAGATAATAATAATAATAATAATAACGTTTTCGTAACAGCAATTTTTTGCATCGGTATGTAAGTTTTCTTTTTGCCATTTTCCCCTTCCTCCCTCTCCCTCTCTCCCTCCCCTAACAACCCCGGACGTAATTCGCTACAAAAATGTCATTTTTTTTGTAAAACATTCAAGGACCACAACATCATCAAACGTTTTCTTTATTATCATTTTAATTAAAAAAACAACTTTCAAATCTTTTTATTTAATGAGATGACACAAAAAGGACTTTAAGGAATTAGTTTAGGACAAAATTATTAATTTATTTAACTTATTTAGTTTTTCCTTTATTTTTTTTAAAAAGTCATTTTTCTTTTTTCGAATTCAAACATCAGGTCCAAAAAAAAAAGTAATTTCGAACAAAGTAACTAAAAAATGTTGACGTATAAACATATTTGAAGAGGGCAGTGGCACTTTCATGGGAGATTAAAAACAGTTGGACGTTTTCAAAGGGTTTACATACGTCAATTTACATTCTATGTCTATGTTTGTTAATTCAAACGAAAAATTTTTTTTTTTTTTTTTTATGTAAAACAATCTAACGAATCGAGAAATTTTTTTTAGAATTCGATAAACTTAATTAAAATTAAAAAAAAAAAAAAAGGAAAATACGATTTTATTATTTATTTATTTATATAAATCTATTATTGATTATTTATAGATTTATTATTTTTTTTTTTTTTTACGTTTCATTAAAAAAAAACAAAACTTTGCAATTTTCTAGTCAATGATTAATAAAAAAAAAATTTTCGTCTGCAAGCAAATTTATATTTTTATTTTTTTTTTCAAATATAAAATCGTTAAATTTGATTCGAGCAAAATAAATAATAATAATAATAATAATAACACGTTGACAAATTGTATTATTCCCATAAATAGTATGCCGAATGAGACAATATTAACGTTATGTATTTTTAATCTTCGACAGCAACAGCAACGGAAAATGGGGGAAAATTTGTCGAAAATTAAGGAAAACGCTGACGGTTTTCCTGTTGGATTGTTTTTTGTAATAATGAGGCACAATTCTCTTGTTGTAAGATGTAATAAAACTAGACACCAATGTAGCACACAAGTAGAATTTTATTTTTTTTATTTTGTTCGGGGGGAAAAAGAGAGAGAGAGAGAGAGAGAACGAGTTAAAAAGAATCCGTGAAAGGCCAAGAGATGCACAAAACTCAGGTAATAGGTTGTTGACCTCCAAGTTTAAAAATAAACCACTTCTTATAATAATAAAATCCGTTGACATTAATTTTCTAATATTCAATCCGTACCTGAACCTTTTTTTAAACTAAGAATAAAAAAAAACACATTGTTTGTTTGGGTTTTAAGATTATGTTATACCTAATTATGGAATATGATGATGTTCTTGCAATTAGATCATTCGTTTATTATTATTATTATTATTATTATTATTATGTTTCCAACCCGATTTTGTTGTAAACGTTGCATTTATGTGACAATAAGAGGACGAAGCATTTTAACTAATAATAATTACAAATTATGAAAAGATAAGCTTTTTAATATTATTATTATTAAGTTTCTTGTGTGGTGCGTGTGCCTGACTTCGAAGAATAAAACAAAGTATACCTTTTCGATTATTAAATTTCAAACGAATAATTTAAAAATCGAAGATAATAATAATAAAAAAGATAGTAAAAATTTAATTAAAAAAAAAAAAA